TCTTGCTCAGGTTGGTATAGAACTCCTGAGCTCAGGCAATCCATCCGCCTCAGCCTCCCAGAGTGCTGGGATTACAGGCATGAGCCACAGCACTCAGCCTTACCCTCAAGGTTTTATGACTTTTTTAAACAATTAATCCTTGCTTTAAATTACCGGCATATTTACAAATGTTATGTTTGATATTCCCCCTTACAATTCTCACTCCATTTACTGAATGGAAGCATGTGATTTGGATTAAAGTAGGTAGAGAAAATACCACATCAAAATTCAGCAGGGGGCATATCCTAAAACTCAGGTGCCACATGAAATCCAAACTTCATCGGTGAGCTTTTGTGTTCTGTTACTTTAAGATCCACTGACCTGCCTGGCACCCAGGTATGATTTGGCAGCATCCTAGATTGGTCACTTGGAAGATAATCGTTCACAGACGTGAGAAGATCTTCCAATGTCAACATATATTATTATGTAACTTTTTAAAAAATCACCTCCACAGGTAACACCACTGATCTCATCAGGAAAGTCTAGCCCTTGGGACTGTGCTGTGTCACGGTAGCAACTTCTGCTGTGCACACACAGAGCCTAATTTTATGACCGGGCACAAATCCATAAAGTAACAGGTTCATTTTGTTCATTTTTAATACCTGCCAAATGTCCAAGTCAGAATGATGATAATTTGTCTCTCATTCTTTCAGGTTAAAAAAGTAATGTTTCTGGGCAGCACCTGTGGCTCAAAGGAGTAGGGCACTGGCCCCATATACCAGGGGTGGCATGTTCAAATCCAGCCCCGGCCAAAAACTGCAAAAAAAAAAAAAAAAAAAAAAAAGTAATGTTTCATTTTTATTAAAAAAAAAAATTATTCCTTTGCTGTGAGCTATGACACCACAGCACTCTACCAAAGGGTGATGAAGTGAAATTCTATCTCAAAAAAAATAAAAATAAAAAATTATTCTTTCAAGTTAAAAAACAAACAAGAAAATGTTCCCTAGTAAGGAACAAGTTCTGCATGTTTAAGAAGCTGAACAGAGTTCATTACAGAAGAGTGACCAGGATAAGGAGGAATGAGAAGGCCGGGCTGTTCAGAGGGGTTGAGACAGAGGGAAGCGTTTAGATTTTCTTCCAGGAAGTCGCAGAAGGCATTTTACCAGGCAGGGTTAGCAAAGTAAAAATTCCATTTGTAAGAGTCCTTCGGGGACCCTGTAAAGGTGAAGCCAGAGAGCAGACAGCGGGACTGCAGCCGTGGGGTGGGTTGCCAGGGTGTAGACAAAGACGGCAGGAGAGCTGGACCGCTGCTCCACACTGGCTACAGGGTGGGCCTACGCCAGTTTAGACACTGTAGTTCACTATCAATCTGCTCTTCCCAGATCCCAAAGGAAGCTGGCAGCCCTCCCCTCCTCAGAGGTGCCGGCCGCCAGCCTGCATGGGCCCTCGTGGAGACCTGCCGCCCTGTGACAACACAGGCTGGAGAAAACCCCTCCCTGCCAGGCCTGGTGAAGAGGTAAGCAGACGCCCCCTGCGGGGTCCGGCTACCCACACTTGGCAGATGCCCCCTGCGGGGTCCGGCTACCCACACTTGGCAGATGCCCCCTGCGGGGTCCGGCTACCCACACTTGGCAGACACCTCCTATAAGGTCCGGCTACCTGCCCTTGGCAGACGCCTCCTGCAGGGTCCGGCTGCCCGCACTTGGCAGACGCCTCCTGCAGGGTCCGGCTACCCACACTTGGCAGACGCCTCCTGCAGGGTCCGGCTACCCGCACTTGGCAGGCGCCTCCTGCAGGGTCCGGCTACCTGCACTTGGCAGACGCCTCCTGCAGGGTCCGGCTACCCACACTTGGCAGACGCCTCCTATAAGGTCCAGCTACCTGCACTTGGCAGACGCCTCCTGCAGGGTCCGGCTACCTACACTTGGCAGACGCCTCCTGCAGGGTCCAGCTACCCACAGTTGGCAGACGCTCCCTGCGGGGCTGGCTACCCACACTTGGCAGATGCCTCCTATAAGGTCCAGCTACCCACACTTGGCAGACGCCTCCTGCAGGGTCTGGCTACCCGCACTTGACAGACGCCCCCTGCGGGGTCCGGCTACCCGCGCTTGGCAGACGCCTCCTATAAGGTCCAGCTACCCGCACTTGGGCCTAAATAGAGATTTACTGAATAAGGCTCAAAAGGGGATTATTTGTTTGGATTTTAATTTTCTTTCTTCCATTCTGGTTGTATATTGTGTTTTAATATTTTTGAAAGCCTTTTGTTGTATAATGTATCATGTTGCTCTCCCACCAGCTTCTTTAACTTACATATCTCCAGATTTTCAGAGGGTTTTTTCCATTAATCCAAAAAATAGGAATAGACTTGTGTTTTATATTCACTGGCTGTTCACTAACCTCATGGGGGATTAACTAGGGTTTACATGCTGCAATCCTGTTTCCAACAAAAGATCCACATATTACAGACTTGTTTCAGTTAACAATCCAGAGACCGTGAATTGGACGGTCATTACGTGCCAGCCAACATTCGAGAGGCCGTGTTCCCTGCCCAGGAGACATACAGAGGGCAGAGGTGCGAATTGATGCAGATGCCCTCTGGTCTGTCCTCCATCTGTTTTCCAGTATTTTCCTAAAATATGCTTGGTCCCTATAATCACGGCAGCCTCCCAGCATCAACCTCTCCTGGGAGGAGGGACGAGGTAGCCAAATGCGTTACCAAGGAGGCCTCAATTGAGAAGCAGCTTTTGAGTCCCAACTTGCAGGCAGAGAATGGTGGCGCTCCAGAGGCAGAAAGGTGAGGGCTGGGAGGAGGTCCAGGCAGCAGGGCTGGTCCTTGCCAAGCCCTGATGCTGTGTGTCTAGAGAACAGCAAGCAGGTCTGGCTGGCCAGACCTGTGCCCTGAGGCAGGGAGGCAGTGGGAAGCCAGGCTGCAGAGTAAAGTTAGAGCTAGCTCACTCCTGTCCAGACGGTGTTCACATGCCCTCGGTCTGCCCATTACTGTGTGGATTGAGTTTAAACTGGGAGGAACAGAGACTGGGAGTGAGAGACCAAAGGCCTAATGTCACAGCCCTAACTCTTGCCAACCACGTGACAGATTTCTGAGCTCCTTTAGGGCCACCACTACACGGCATTGATTGGGATACCGAAAGGGGAAGGACTTTATCTGTGCTGGGCTCACAGGTGGGTATGTAATCACACTGCGCGGAACCCTGTGAAGGAACTGCAGGTCCCCGGTGTGTCCCCTCAACTCCCCTTCCTTCTCACTGTTACCGTAGATTTTACAGACAAAATAATTTACAATCATTTGACATTGATATCAGCAAGGCATCATGGACAGGGAGAAAGGGAGACAGACTGCAGCTCCAATCCCATCTCTGCCACGTGTGACTCGGGCCAAGCGGCCTCGAGATGCTCTGTTTCTGCGCCTGCTCCCCGTCCCTGCTGTCTTTAGGATGACCAGGGCAGTGCAGGCTGCACAAAGTGTGCGCGGCACCTCAGCAAGCTTTGCAGATGCAGGTTCAGAAAGCACAGATAGATGGGGCCGACCACCCGTCTGAGGGTGGTGCCAAAGGGCCTCCGTCCACCGATGAAGTGCGATTTCCAGTTGCTTCCAGTGCCAGACTCGCTCGGTCCCCTCAGTTCAGAATTTCCCAACTGCAGTTACTTTTTCTGTGTCTATCTGCCCCCGACACTCTGTGGGCTTCTCCAGTTCAGGGACGAGGTTTTATGTGCTGAATGTACTGAATGTCTACTCTAAACTGTGACTGGACACTGGTGGAGTGACAGTAGATCGTGAATTAGTAAATAATTAGGACTTCCTCCCTTTGACCCTGAAATGTCGATCCCTGCAGACTGCCCAGAAGGAATGGTACGTTGGGGAACACAGTCGCCGGGCAGCTGAGGCGGCACTAATGCAGGAGAACAAGGTAACGCCCTCTGTTTAGACCATAGTCGTCTTATGGTTTCTGCCTATATGTCACAGGGTGTGACACGAGATTATAGAAGCTGCAACAGTCAGGCGAGGGCAGGCTACACGCAGCAGCAAACAATCCCAAGATTCCAGTCACTCAGCACAACGAAGCCTTGTTTCTTGCTGCCATTAAAAGTTCAAGCCAGGTTTGGTGGGTGAATCCAGGGTGCCACAGGCCCCATCTGAAAGGAGCGCCCCCCACACACACACACACTCTGGCTCCTGACACAGCCTCTCAGAAATCACCCACTTCACCTCTACCCACTATCATGAACCACAAATCACACAACCACGTCTAACTTCAAAGTCAGTAAAACCACAAACCTGCCATGTAACCAAAAGAAAAAGAGAACAGAAATGTGTGTAATCAGGTCAAAGGGCTCCCACCACCACCATCGCAGCATCTCTGTGTTCAGAGAACTGTCCTGGATGGCTCAGAAGTGACAGAAGGTCTGGCAAGGCAGCCGCAGCACCACACCTACCTCACTGTGGGGGCTTAGGTCACCACAACCTCAGCCAGGATCTGCGCTGAGGGCAAGTGACACGAGAAAAAAAGCAAAGACTCAGTTATCTCAGGTGAAGATGACGGATGGAGCCTGTGAGAGGTGCACCCCGAGCCATCAGGGCAGCCCCAGCCCATGTTCCCACAGTCTCTTTATTCAGTTAAAAACCAAAAATCATCTAGCACTCTGGGAGGCCGAGTCAGGTGGATTGCCTGAGCTCATAAGTTTGAGACCAGCCTGAGCAAGAGCCAGACCCCGTCGCCAAAAATAACCAGGTGCTATGGTGGGCGCCTGTAGTCCCAGCTACTTGGGAAGCTGAGGCACAAGAATCACTTAAGCTCAAGAATCTGAAATTGCTGTGAGTAATGACACAGCACTCTACCAAGGGTGACATAGTGAGACAAAGTCCCAAAAAAACCAAAAATCATATTGACAATGTAAAGCACAAAATCAGTTTGAATTGGCTCGGTGCCTGTGGCTCAACCGGCTAAGGCGCCAGCCACGTACACCTAAGGTGGCGGGTTTGAATCCAGCCCGGACCCGCCAAACAGCAATGACAGCTGCAACCAAAAAATAGCCGGGCGTTGTGGCGGGTGCCTGTGGTCCCAGCTACTTGGGAGGCGGAGGCAGGAGACTCGCTTGAGCCCAGGAGTTGGAGGTCTCTGTGAGCTGTGATGCCACGACACTCTACCCAGGGGGATAGCTTGAGGCTCTGTCTCTCAAAAAAAAAAAAAAATCAGTTTGAATTATTCAAAGCAGGATTCCCCAAGTAATCATTAACAATCAAGGGAAACAAAGGAAAAGAAACCCAATGAGTCACACCACGGGATTACAACACACACTTTGCAAATTGAGGATAACTTTCGTGACTGGCTTCAGTGTTTTCTATCCATACCTGGGGCAGGACTCAGGTATGACAGTCTCTGGTTGCTAGGCATTCTGTTCTCAACCACAAGGTAACAATCGGGCTGTCTGTGCCACCAGAAGGGGTGTGCAGGATCCTGGACTCTGGTCAACAAGACCCCCAGAATCCTAGCCCTGAGCCTGCTGGGTGCCAGCCATCCTGTGTAGACCACCCTGTTGCTGACCTTGAGGGGTGTGAGGATTTGGGCTCTGGTCAACAAGCCCTGTGGAAATGCCTGGCTAAACTACACTACCAACCAGAGACTCCCCCATCTCACCCCACCAGGACGATAGTCATCCCTGCATGAAGAAACACAGAAATCAATGAACTAAAGAGTAAATGATAGTTCTCCAATAAATTTTAGGAAAACCTAGCCCTCAGAATTGAGGCTGTAAAATTCAATTAAATTCATTATGTCCGAGGTGCTGTGGTGAACAGGCCACCTGGGTGGTCGGCAAAGGCTGCGTCCTCCTCACCTCTTGTGAGCCTGCTTCTGCCTCTCCCTAAGAAACGTCAGGAAAACAAGATCTCAGTTGGAGGACTTCACATTGTCCTCTTGTTTGTCTCAGTTGTGTCAAAATGTGCTTCCTATTTGTGAAAGATAATTTAATTGTAAATTGCAGGATTGCCCAGATTCATTTTGGCAAATTTATTGCAGGTTTAAGATGAGAAACCCAAAAGTTGGCCATGAGTTTTGGCCTCCTCTCTTTTTCTGATCTTCGGTAATGTTTCGTACTCACGTTCTGAGGGTTCATTGTGGCCGAATGTTTTTTTAGGCAGAACAAGTTCCAGAAAATTCCTCAATTCCGTTTTTATATACTGGGAGTAAGAATTGGGGTTTGACTTTGGGGTATTTACTATCTGTGAAGCTCAGCTCCTTATCCCTTACCTTTAAAATGAGAATAAAATACATCCCTCGACATCACGTAAAGAACGACGGAGATGATGTGTAAAGTACTTGGCACCTTGAGGACAACGCTCCAGACATCTCAGCTGCCCGCTCGTCATAGCGGCACGACGGAGTTATCACACTACTTATGAATGTAGTATGTTTAACGTACTGTCACACAGAATCATTATATCTATGTCTATAAAATCCATAAATATTAATTATGGGTGATAGATAATTAAAAATATTGTACATAATCTATAAAGAGGAATAATTACGGCTCATAATGGTTACAGATATAAATCACACATAACCTCTCTATCTACAATATCTGTTCCTTGAGATCATTTATCACCCTTTGTACAACAATGCACACAAGTCCAGCTGCAGATTTTCTGTATGTGTCATTAGATAAATGACACACTGTGGCCACCGCACTACCCCGGTGGCCTGGGTGGTGCAGTGCTCAGGATCACCCTCTGAGGAGTGTACTTGGTTATTTACAACCCATGTCCTACTGCCCTCGGACCATGGCCGCTGTTGACCTTCGCTGGGCAGCCCTCGCTCTGCACCCCTTGGCTGCTGTAGCCCTGAAGTTTCTGGGTTTCCATCTCTCAGACATCCCTCGTGCTTGTCCTGTCTCCCCGATGTCCCTCCCCTACATTGGCCTTCACCTTCAGGCTTCGCTTCCTCTGTCCCTGTAGGGTCTCTCACTTTGACATCAGTGACTTTGAAGCCTCTGCCTCTTTCGGGAATGCTGGTCCTGCCTTGTCATCTCCCCACACAGAGACCCGACTTGTTAGGTGAAAAGCTTCTCCTGCTCCAAGCCTGCGATGTCTCTACAATAATGCCTGAGCATCAGGCGGGCCCGGGGAGATGCCAACACTGGTGGGTGGAGAGGCGCCTCCAGGGAGGGACAGGAGCCCAGCTCTCCATGCAAACCAGCAGCTGGGAACCCAAAGCCCACGGTGTCTTCAGAAATGGAGTCGTGGCTGGAGCCAGGAACGGGGGCAGGAGACTACAGGGTGATAGGACGCAAGACAACTGGTACTTGTATCCACGGCTGTCACGCTAAGGCTGCGGGCATTATGCCCCAGTCAGTGGGGGAAGATGGAAGATTTGGAAGAAGGCAGTGTCGTGACCCAACTGGTAAACTTCCCAGGAAGGACAAAACCCTATCCCTGCCTACACTCAGTGAAATGTTAGTGAGGTTTGCTGGAAACTAAAGGCAGGTGGGACTCACACGCACACAGGCGGGGTGTGGCGGGCAGGAGAAGTGACCCTTATTCCTTTTGCTTCAGGACGGTACTTTCTTGGTCCGAGATTGTTCCACGAAATCCAAGGCAGAGCCGTACGTGTTGGTGGTGTTTTATGGCAACAAAGTCTACAATGTGAAAATCCGCTTCCTGGAGGGGAACCAGCAGTTTGCCCTGGGGACGGGCCTCAGAGGAGATGAGGTGGGTGCACCTAACTGCTTGTCCAGGCTACCAGACACAAAAAAAAGGGTTTGGAAGATGCCACCTGTCGCCTGCAGGGTAGGAGAGAAGAGCACAGCCCTGGGGGAGGATGCCATTGACCCTGCTGGCCCTACCCTGACACGTTCTCACCACAGGGCCAGCAGCCAATCCTGACCCTTCCACAAACCCTCATCCTGCTTCCCCTTTTAAAGAAAACTCATTCTACAAGACACTAAATCCTGCCTCCTGGGAAGGCCCCAGGGAAGCCCGTGTCCATGCCACCTTCCTTCCCATCCCCACTGTGGATGTTCCTGACATAAGCAGCCTTTATGACTCTTTTTT